AAATCATCCCGGAATACTCGACACACGCTTCGAAGCCTCGATACGGGAGGACACATCACTACCCTTATGATTTTGAACCCTAGACTTTGTTATACTAAGTTGTTTGCACTTTAGTTGTAAGCTAATAAAACCTCTTGCAAGTCATTTTTTTGTACTTGTATCCCTTTATGTACGGTCGAAACGAGCTGGCCGTAACATAAATTGGGTGTCTCGTCCGCGATCCTATTGGGGTAGGAAACGTTGGTAAGTATTGTATGTGTGTGTGTTTTTGTGAATGGTTACCTTTATAAATGAGAACTCTGGTGAGTTAGAGTGTTTCCAGCTGGATTGTGAATACAATCCTTCCGACGGAGCACTGTTTGTTGTTTTGTGTTGTTATTTTGTCTTTCTTGTTTTTGGAGGTTATCCTGGGTGGAGATTAACTCTCTGTAGGGGGTACGCTTCCGGACTTTCAGTTTGACTGATTGTCGCGGAGTTCAGCGTTTAATGTCGCCTCGAGCCCGGTACATCTCTGAAGACCAGGTAGGGTTTAGTTAGTGTTTTTCTGAGGTAGGAGCTGGAGTTCTCTCATATTATAAACGGTAAATCCATTTTGCAAAAATAAATGAGGATAAATTGTCGCTTTTGTGTGTATAGTGCGGTTTATTTTCGCGCGTACACTGTGTTTTGACTTGTGGGAAGTCTTTAGAAGTTTTGTGAATGAGCATAGGTTGCGTAATACAGTGACGTACTGGCTTATGGGAGTTGTATTTCGGGTAAACAGCGTTTCACGTGTGGTAGTTAGTGTTGAGCTGAATCTCGGGAGTGATTATGAAAGAACTACACTTCCCAGAGTGCACCAGCAGGAGCAAACCGGCTGCTTGTCACCTGATTATCATTGTCACTGATTTGGAGCACCTGAAAAAGCATGGAGGTTCTCAGTCAGTCAGAAAAAACAAACTTCAGAGAGAAGAGGCTCCAAGTTCACTCGTAGGTTCAGTCCAAAGACGCCAATGGTCTGTAATATGTTTATTTACTTTCATGGTGTTTGTGCTGAATATGTTTGAGCTATGTTTAACTGCTGTGTAGATGTTAAGTAACACATTGCAGCATTTCCTTCATTTATTTTGTGTTTGTGCTAAAATAATATTACATTGAGTTTGAAAAAATAAGAGTATAAGATAAAAAAAAGGATGGTATAAAGTTAAAAGTGGTAAAATGTTAACTTTACAAACATATTTGGAAGATTAATGAAATCATTTCTTTATTCCATCTAAAAGGCTTAAGTGGTTAATTAATTTAAAATGCATTAATGTTTGAATAAAATTGTAACTTTAGTTCTCTGTCTTTAAAGGTTTACAACCTAATTTGCTGAACAGCACAATCAACTGACAAACCAAAATAAAAATAAAAGTGATTGAGTCGGAAATTTGAGTTGTCCTTGTGTCCTTTGGAAGTCGAAAAAGAGTAGGACTTGACAGTTGTAAACCATTGGCGTCTTTGGACTGAACCTACGAGTGAACTTGGAGCCTCTTCTCTCTGAAGTTTGTTTTTTCTGACTGACTGAGAACCTCCATGCTTTTTCAGGTGCTCCAAATCAGTGACAATGATAATCAGGTGACAAGCAGCCGGTTTGCTCCTGCTGGTGCACTCTGGGAAGTGTAGTTCTTTCATAATCACTCCTGAGATTCAGCTCAACACTTCGGGATCGGGGCGAGATTTGAGGCAGTAACTTGGTCAAGTTCTTGATTCGCCCTGCTGATCTCTCTGGAGCTGGTCTTTCTCTTGCAGGAGATGACACAGTGACTCTCGCCAGTGGCGCAAAAAGTGGGTATGCGCTATATGCGGCGCATAGGGGCGCAGCACCATGGGGGGGCGCCAAAGCGATGGTAAAAAAAAAAAAAATCATTAAAAAAAAAAAAATATATATATATATATATATTGTATTTTCTATATGTAGCGGCTGTTGTCCGTTTCTAAATCATTTCTGCATTTCTTCAATGTTATATAAAATTTTAGAGGACTAACAGGCTAGAGTAGGCGCCCTCATGGAGAAGGGGGGCGGGGTAATATCGCGAGCGGGCGGGGGCTTTTTCGGCCGATACATCTCATACTTTTTTTTTTCTTTTTCTTAACGGCCCATAAAACTCGCACATCGGCGCCCCATTTCATTTTTTTGCTTAATTGGCAGCGCTGGGTTAGTGCCGGTGTAATGCATTGGTAAAAAAAAGTCAGCGTTATTTTTTTTTTCTGACACACCGGACCATGAAACATGTCATCATGTGCTTATATCTTTCAAGTATAGAAATTAGTACAAAACTAATTATGAAAGTTTCCTTTATTTTTCAGTGCATTTGTTTTACAATATATGGCTATTACTATCATGGGATTATTATTATGTAGTAGTGTAATGTAGACAGACACTAACTAAAAGAGGTTTGAAAAAATTGTTGCTGCATACCCCTCTGACACTGGGTAGTTGCGCCCCTGACTCTCGCTCGTTTTCAGTCGTTTGAGTGACAGAGGAAATCTCATGCAGACGGCATCTAAGATGAACAATCTCTTTGCGGTATCTTTTCAAGAGCGTGCCTTCAGAGACCTCTGTGACGCGAGGGTCGTTCTTCATGCGCCTCGCAGCAATAGCAAACTGTAAGTGCAGACGGTCTCGTCCACATTGGCCGGCGCGATGGTGCAAATAATCACAACTTTTGCATTTCCACCCAAAGAGTTCTGAAGGATCCGGGTTAGTTTACTGTCTCTGTAATTCACAAAGCCCTTCTGATTCTTAACGGATAATTTCTTAACTACTTGACCCAGTATCAACAAACTGCGGTTTATGATGCACCCTTCTTTTAACCGGGCTTCATCTCCCATCTCCGGTCAGATCAGCCACGTACACGTTTTTGTGGTTCCCTTAACGGATCTCCAGAGGCCTTCTCTTCGAGCTGTCACAGAGCAGATCTGCGACCGTCTCATTATAGATTTCCACATAACTCACACGCAGGAGAAACTCCTTCTTCGGAAAGTTTTGAAGACGTCGGCCATGGCGAGAGGAATCACTACAGGTTTATGCTTACTTCCCATCATGGAGAAAGTCTTTCCGGATGACGTCTGTCCATAGGCGAATATCATGCCGTTATAGCCTTTGACTGCAGACATGACCAGGGGCATGGCGATGTCCTGGTAGAGCTGAGCGGTGGTCTCCGCAGCGCTGAACACTCGGTTGAAGCTGAAGCTCTTGGTTGGAGCGCCATCTTTGTCCAGCTGATGGTAGGCCTGTTTATCGGCTCTCCAGAAGAGCTGCACTGGCTCTGAACTCTTAGACTCCTCCCTTTCAGGCCTGATCCGATCGATGACAAACTTGTACTCCTGTCATGTTCGCTGCGGTTATGGTTAAATTATGGAGCCATCCGGTTCAACTGAAGTTAAGAAAATTCAACTCTTGGAGAGTGTGGATGACACAATCTCAAAAGACCTCAGACTTTCAACCTACACCACTGCCAATGACATGTTCAGAGTCCTGGAGAACAGATATGGAAATAAGTCAACCATCACAGTGGAAATCCTTGAAGAGCTGGAGAAGATGCCACATGTGAAAGGGAACCAGCCAAGAAAGGTAATTGACCTCATACAGTCAGTAGAGAAGGCCCTAGCGGATCTCACAGAGTTAGGAAACTCTGGAGCCATAAATAACCCTCTGGTAATTAAAACCATTGAAAGCAAGTTGCCTGACTTTATTAAAAGAGAATGGGTGATGTTCATGGTTGAGCCCAGAAACAATGTCAGATCAGACAACCACTTTATCATGCTCTTGAAGTTCTTGAAAAGCCAAGAAGAAATACTAGAAAGACTCGAACAACTCAGAACTGTGGAGAAATCAGATCGATCAGAAAAGAGGTACATTTACATTTATTCATTTAGCAGACGCTTTTATCCAAAACGACTTACAAATGAGAACAATAGAAGCAGTTAAACTAACAGTAGGACAACAATACGTAAGTGCTATAACCCCTCTCAGTTTAATTTTAGTGCAGTTTTTTTTTTATAGAAGAGAAAGTGTTAATTCTACTGAATCAAGTGCTGCCGAAAAAGATATGTCTTCAGCAGTTTCTTGAAAGTGGCTACTGACTCAGAAACTCTGGTTGAGTTAGGCAGATCATTCCACCAACAGGG